TATACAGTACGTCTATATTTATAGGTAGGGAGGGAGTGTCAACAGATACAGTACGTCTATATTTATAGGTAGGGAGGGAGTGTCAACAAATACAGTACGTCTATATTTATAGGTGGGCAAGGAGTGTCAACAAATACAGTACGTCTATATTTATAGGTGGGCAAGGAGTGTCAACAAATACAATACGTCTATATTTATAGGTAGGGAGGGAATGTCAACAAATACAGTACGTCTATATTTATAGGTGGGCAAGGAGTGTCAACAAATACAGTACGTCTATATTTATAAGTAGGGAGGGAGTGTCAACAAATACAGTACGTCGATATTTATAGGTGGGGAGTGACAACATATACAGTACGTCTATATTTATAGGTAGGGAGGGAGTGTCAACAAATACAGTACGTCCATATTTATAGGTGGGGAGTGACAACAGATATAGCGTGCCCATAATTATCATGTACTTTGTTAGGTAATAAATGTATACCATGCAACCACATTTGTGACGTAACAATAGTGTGCCGAGCAGTGTTTATTTCTCATAATGAACGGAATACCAGACCATTATCTGAGATTTTCGTAACTTATATTATCACATAATATTTTATTTTATTGAAAAAAACAAACCCGAAACTGTATACAAGTCTAATCAAAAGTTATAATCATTTTATAACACTTTTTTGTTGCTTTAGATTTGCATTTTGTACTAGGGTTAGGAACCAGAATGCTGGCGTTCAATCTGAAGGTCAGTCTTATTATGTACCGAGGCTAATGTGTGAAACTCGCTATAGCGATTTGCGAGAAAGCAATTCTAAGAGTGTGTCCCCCTTTGTGCATTGTAATGCTAATTCTCATTCTCTCTAATTCTCATTACAGGGCGCTTTATTTGCAATTGTGTTCGTAACCATGCATGTTTGTTATCCGGGGTCGCCACTACTATACTTTAAGTGCCTGTTGACAGAGTGACCAACTGTTAATGAGCGTCGTGTTGTGCCATAATTGCATTGTTGTTGTGTCCTTTCTACAGATATGGTTGCGATAAATATGAATTTAGTCGGTTTGCTGTTTGCTTTTCTGGTGTTCTTCCAGGTGGCTTCATCGGAAGGTCAGTATTAAATGTCAGATTCAACAACTTTCGCACAAATATTTGAACTTCACTTACAATGATGGGCGTTTCCATGCAAGCTATGCAATAGAGAGCCACTGTATGTATGTGTTTCTCTGCGGTGTACGCACACCAGCAACTAGATCAAACCTGTAAACTGATTATTGACGTTGAGTTAAATTTCACATACATGGGGGGGGG